AAGAAGTATAAAAAGAATGATAAAATGAATATGGGCAAATGTTACTAATTGGTACATCTAGATAAAGAATAAATGGGTGTTTATTAGAACCATTATATCACTTTTTATGTAAATAAACCATTCCCAAACTTAAAAAACAAAAGACTGATAATAGTAATGATTCTGATTATTATGGTAATGATAATAATGAAGGAAAAGATCAGAAGTGGGAAAAAGAAATAAAGTCAAGTTCCAGCATACACAAAGTACATAATTTTGTACCTTAATTCTTTTTTTTAATTGTAGTTGGACACAATATCCTTATTTTGTTTATTTATTTTTATGTGGTGCTGAGGATCGAACCCAGGGCCTCTGAGCGCTCTACCGCTGAGCCACAACTCCAGCCCTATACCTTAATTCTTACACTGAAAAAAAAACTCTGAACTACCATTTCTAGAAATTATTTGTGATATCATATTAAAATAATTGAACACACAGATTATGGATATTTTGTCACTCAAAAAGAAACACTTCCATTTTAGTCCTTCACTGTTTCCTGAGTGTTCTGTGACTGGCTCATTTTGAGACATAGCTACTTTCTTTCAGTTCTAGTGTTCTTTGGTTCTATGATATTGTTTAAATACAATAGCCAATGCAGCTCAAGGCCAAGTTACATTGGTTGCTGTCAGCTGGGCATTTCCTAAACATCAACTTAGTACCTTAACTTCTAGATTGGAATGTGAAGATTAGTGAGGCACTGACGACACAATGAGCATCCCAGATACTATTGCCAGTAGGAGCTGCTTAATCTTTAATACATTTTCATGACTATGATTTCTTTCAGAATTGCTTTCAAACCCCTTTTATTTGCATGGATAGTCCCGGAATCTTCATCCTAACATACTTTTTATTCAGTACCTGCTGTGGGGCCCTGCATAATAAATAGATGCTTAACCTACTTTGTGCACAATCTTTATGACCCTTCTTACCCCATGATCATACAACTGGTAAATGGCAGAACTCATTTTAGAATAGAGCTTTCTATTATTTTAAAGCTTGGAGACCATTCTTTATACTGTGTTACCAAAACCTAGATCACAAAATGGACATATGAAAATAGTGAAGCTGAGTTGTTTGCCTTTATGATCTACCAGAGTTAGACCCTCTGCCAAATTAGAAAATACAAATAAAATATAGTCTTTTTAGTACCCCAGTATTATCATTGTTACATGGTTAAATGTTTACTTCCCAACATACCCACCTACCCCCAATTATTTAAGAGCAAAGGAACTTTGTTTTATTCATCTCCATATTCTCAATCTCTAACACATGGCACTCTGTAAATGTTATTGAACTAAATTATTAATGGACCAAAGGAAAGAAATGGTTATAGTAATGGAAAACAAAACACTGTTTTAATGCTTTTTCTGTGTACTCTATGCCCCTCTTCACAGAAGCAGTTTTCTGATTACTTTGCCATTTCTACTCTCCCAAATTGGTTGATGCCGAATTCAACTCTGTTTTGCCCTACCTAAATTAAGCTCAATTAGGTAATCAGAAATCTGAAACTGGACCTCATTTATCATGCCTATAATTAAAATAGACTGTATAGCCCAAATTTAGTAGCATTTGCATATTATTGTGTTTGTTTTTTGACAACTGTCAAAACAGCAAAAGAAAATTTTTTTTTGTTATTGTTGAATGCTTATTCTGTCAGAGAGATGAGAGCATTTTAATATTATTCCATTTCCCTTTTGAAAGCTGCTGTGGGCGTGCCTCCCAGCCTGAAGATCTTTTCCTGATACTCTTTTTTACCATCTTCTTTCTCACATTCAGTTTAGAGTTTAAAGTGAGAATTTTTTTTAAGTGTGTTTTCCTGGCATCTCATGTTTAACAGTGTCAGGGGTTTGTGTCCCTGGAACGAAAACTGTTTCTCCAGAGCCTTTTTTCTCTCAGCTTCTAGTGAAAAGAGGGGCGAGGCGAGCCAGTCGCTTACCACAAAGCAGTGCCACCACAAAGGAAAGATTAAGGGTTTAGAGAGAGGTCAATGTGGGTTTTTCTCTAACTAAACACTTTCCTAAAGTTTCCTTGTGGAAAAATAATGAAGTCATCTCAGAGTTTTTAAAGAATTTTTATTTCTTTTTCACCGTCTGCATTCGCTTGTCTTCTCAGCATGGATGTTTAATCTTCCTAGGCTTTGTGAATTGGCCCAAATGAATAAGTGGTGAGCTGTCTCTCTAGGAGCTAGAGGCTTATTCTAAGGGCCTAATCACTGAGTAAACACATCTTTGCCCTCCCTCTCACAACTGCGATATAATAGTCGAGATTCTAGCACAGTAACCTGGATATTGCAGGGACCAATGCTTTGAAATGCAGAATGGTTGATCCTCCAAAACAGACAGTCCCTGATCTTCGCCCGCCTCTTTCTTCTTTTTTAAATTAAATATTGCCAAAGAAATGCTGTTTTATTGCTTGATATTGTGCATTAGTGCCCTGGATTTCCAAGTTTAGTTTCAGTCAACACTGTGGGCTTCACTTATGGGGAACTCTGCATGTTGGGTTTCTTAGTAGCTTCTCTGGCACATGTGTGTTTGGTTTGGAAGAGCATTTAAATTAAATCAGTGAGATAGCGATATAAATCACTAATCTCTTTCCCAAAGTCTAAATGTTCCATTACAATGTTCTTGAGAGAAATAGGCATTTTAAAGATTTAGCAATTGCTATTGTTTGGTGAGAAATATGCTGATTTAAAAGTAGACAGCTCTCTTGTTCCCAGTGTCTCATTAAATGTAGTTGCTGAGATACGAACAAGCTGAATTAGAGGTTGACATCCCTCTGTCTTTTCAGCTAGAGATCTCCTAAGAAGAGGAGCTCTGAATTTGTTTGCAGCCAGGTTCACGATCTTTCCCTAAAGCAGCACATTCTTGATTCACTTACTAAAACTGATTTAGCATTGTCACTGCCATGTGGTGTCTTTTTTTGCTATGAGGCCGAGGTTAATATCAGCATTCAGGTTGTTTTCCTCAAACAGGCTGGCACCTATGCTAGTTTAGGTTGTAAAGAAGTCAGAAAAAGACCTAGACCTGACCCTTGAGAGACTTAGTCTAGAGGAGAAACTGGTAAACAATTTTACTAGTGGGAAGAGCTAGCAACGCAGGCAAGGAAGCTCTTAACTTTGCCTGAGAATCAGAAATGGTTTCATAGAGGCATTTGCTTTGAACCTTCAAGGTTGAGTCAGAATTTACCAAGTAAGTATTTCTCCAACAATATATCTGATTGCAAACTTACTGCAGACATCAACATAGATGAAGATACCCTGAGTCTTTCCTGTTCACCGCTTTATCATTTGTACTTCTTCCTAGGCCTGACACAATGAGTATTTGAACAAATGCTTGTTAAATGAATGAATAAGTGAATTAACACATAGAAGCAGGGTGAGATCAGCCAAACTATTTATACAGGAACCCTGTACTTATTCCTGTTACATGCAGTTTCTGAAGCCTGCAAGCGCTGATGTTGTAAGTAGTCTAGCAGCTTCAAGTTATATGAGTGCTCCCACATGCCTTGACTATGGTGTGGTGATTTCCTTGCTACATTGTAGTATCAGAGATAGAACATTAGACTTGGATTCAGACAATCTGGTTTGTAGTCCCCAGTGTGTTTCTTACAAACTGGTTGTGGAATTTAGCACAAGTCAGGGTTCTAAACCTCAGTTTCCTCATATGCTAATGAGGTTAGTACTTGTTTTACAATTCTGGAGGTAAATGTAAAAATAGCAGGATGATTTTAGAATTTTAATCTGTTTACCTTTATTTAATATATTTACCTCTTTTATAGTACAAAATTTTCTTTTTAGAAAAATATTTTAATGATTATTTTTAAGGCATTGTTACAATTTGGGTTCTTTATCAGGATACTTCCAAGCATCAGACATCATTAGGCATTCATCAGTATGAGTCTTTATTTAAGAATTACACCCAGCAAATTTTCAGTTAACGACTACCATCATATTCCTTACTTAATATAAATGGAAATATCTTAAAACTTCCTTGAAATTTTCCTCTGGCAGAATTTCACTTATTGGTTTATATGTTTTATCTTTCCTTTTCCTGATAACTGTGACTCTTAAACTCAGCTCTTCTATAAGGTAGCATTAATAAGTTAGTCAACAGAATTTGAGTTATTTCATTTTTGTCATTATTGTAGCTGACATATTGCAAATTATATTGTTCAATTTTAGTTTTTAATTTGAGTTATTTTATTGAATACCCAACTATGACAGGACGTTTTTAAGACAGCAAATGTCATTTCTTAAGAACAAGTTCTATCATGGCCAAAAGAAAAAAATAAATTTTCATAGGAGAAACTACATTGGATATCTTATAAAATTTAAGCCAAAAAAGAATTCATGTCGACTGCATATTTTTAAACATCTTTTCAAATGATAATTAAAATTACATATTCATAAGTAAGGACTTTAATATGGGAATATATTAAGCATTTTGAAATTAGTAGTAGATCTAAAACAGAACTTTATTTCAGCCCTTTTTCTTTCAAGTAGAAGAGATTATTCAATGTTCAAATTAAAAACATAAAGAATATGTAAGAGATGTTTTGCCATCCAATCTTAATGGTTAATTTTTTTCTGCATAGTTAAATGCCTCAGAGTTAATATTTCTCTTTTACATAAAGATGTATTGAACATAAAGAATGGTAAGTCCATTTTATTTAAAGAAAATGCAATCTCTTGCAAATTTTGCTTCCACATGTTAATAGGAATCTATGCTAGCAATCTGTAAAACTAGATGTAATCATACTTGCCTCCTTATTTAAAGTGTAAGGAGGCAAAAATTGTTTATACTGGTAGATGCTTTAGGAACTCCAAATGTAAGGTACGCTTTTAGGGAATAGCATTTAATTTTTGTCTTTGCTGTTCATTTATATTGATTATGCCTCTCCAAAATGCAAGAATCTTTCATTAATGGGTATTTTAATTGATTGGTATTTTCTCTTCTTTGCAGAGAAAGCTTCTTGCTATCTACCTCCACCATGATGAAAGTGTACTAACCAACGTGTTCTGCTCACAAATGCTTTGTGCTGAATCCATTGTTTCTTATCTGAGTCAAAATTTTATAACCTGGGCTTGGGATCTGACAAAGGACGCCAACAGAGCAAGGTAATATTCTGTTCACAAGTTGTAAGTTGGTCTTCTGTTTTTTAAAAAGTCATTATTGTGTTTGGCTTCTTGTCATCATAAATATTTTTCATCTTTAGCATTAACACTTCTATTACATTTCATTAGATAAAAGCTATTTGTTATAGCTACATATGCAGTTATTTACAATTTTGAAAACATAACTTTAAAAAGACTCTGCTTAAATTCAATAATAACCTGAAAACAAAAATATATTTCTCTTTTTTTGCAATAAGACAGATAGTATATATTTCTAGTTTGTTGATTGTTTAAAGAAAATCATGATGCTCATAAAAGGCAAAGCAAGTCTAACACGTAATCCTAGTAGTAAGTTTATTTTTTTAATAACTTCAGTGAAGAAGGCAGGACATTCTGGACCAGTCCAGTGAAGTTGGTAAAAGCTTAACTCTAGCATATGCTAATTGATGTAATCGCTTTATTGCACACATTCTTTTGCACACAGCCAGCAATGCATCCATATTCTCAAAAGAAAAAAAATCCCTTTCCTATTTGTCAGTATAAGTATAGTTAATTTGTTAATCATAATTTCTTTAAATGATAAGTAATTCTTCATATTTTACCTTTCTGAGTTTCCCATCTGAAATATATTTTCAATATGTGTAATTACACATGTGACTGTAACATCCCATGATGCTATTTTGGATGTGTTAACACAATCATAACACAAGACTGCAGGCTTATGAACAGGGAGGTTAAATTAATTCATTTCAAGAAAGCCTATTATAGTTACCTAATTTAAATGATTATAGATCAATTAGAAATCATCCGATTTATATTTTTATTATTTTATGTCTCACTGAATTTTTTGTTATCATTCAGACTTTGCTTTATGTTATCTGAATCTGAAAAGAAAGAAAATTCTTCCCTTAACTGTGAGCCCCCCCAAAAAATGTTGAAGCAATTTCTTCATCTAATACTTAATTTCTTTAAGCAAATGGCTAGGAAATTTCCTAGGATGACTTCGTTCTGCCTTGGAAATATTCCCTGTTATACATAAATAAAGAACCTCTAGCACCTGTATTTGTTTAAATTAAATCAGGTTATTATTCACACTCAGTTAAAGGTGATGAAAAGCAGTGCCAAAAACAGATAAAAATGCAGCATCGAAGGTCTTTCATGAGGCAAAATACATAGACTGGAGACGTGGCTAAATCTTTTGCCATTCACTGGCAGTAAGGAATCTCCTCCTTTCCTTTTATCCACAACTTGATGAAGAAGGAAACACTATTTCTAAACCATCTGTAGTGGCTAAGTTCAGTGGGCTACCTGCTGTTATTTTGTTCTATCCTCCATTTAATTCCTTAGTTCCTTTTATTTTACAATGACAAAAAATTGCAGTGTAGTTTCTTTTGAAAAACAGTGTTTGAGGGTTTTTTTTTATGACTGGCAATCAACAGCCATGTAATTGCTTTGTTATGTTTTACTAAAGAAGTCTGTTAAGTAGCACAACTTTGATACACTAGTAATAAGAGTTTGCAGGTTACAGAGACACCTGTGGTGACCAAAGCGACAGAAGCTGCTTATTAGAAAGAGCCAGTACAGCTGTGTCCTATTAACTCCTTATGACACTTCTTTAAAAACACTAAATAAAGGCCTTGTTTAAGGCTTTAGAGCCATTTCTCAACGAATTGCAGGACTGACTATGAAGTATGATATTTCTGTCTTCATTTTAAAAAATGGGATATTTCATTAACTGTCATGAAAATAAAAGGAAGTGATATTATAGACTGAAAATAGAAACATCTAGGAATTCAACTTAATAAACGTTTATAGGAAACACAGAGTAATGTAGAAGAGAACAGAATAATTCCTAGAATTTTAAGATAATTGCCATACTTATTCAAAGTTCACTTCTGTTCACATTAAAAATCGAGAGCTATTTTAAGCTGTGTTCCATTTTCTATATTAAAGTAACAAAACATATAACTCTTTTTGATGTACAGTTCCATCATTATCACTGTTAAGAAATAGAAAACATTTTTAAACACAAGATTAGCGTTTATTAGAGTGTCATATTCCCAAAAAGAGAGTAAAAGTGGGTCTCCTTTGATACATGAAACTAACAGAATTAGGCTGATTTATTGCCAAAAATGAATGGTTTAGCTTAGCCACAATTTTCTTATCAGGTGTCATAAATTCATCTGAATAAAATTATCTAATTGGGTTTCTTGCTGTATGATCTTTCTTGGAATTTTATAAACCACATTTATCCAAAGGTATTTATCATGAAAATCTATTGCATCATTTATTTGATTCTTTTAACTTTAACTAACCTCAAACTTTCATTCTCATTTTACAGAAGACTGCTTGTGTTAATATTTGTGTATCATTGGGCTACATATCAAAAATTACTACATATCAAAAAATGATGTGCCATCATTTTCATAACTAGAGAGCTGAAATGAGGAAATACAGAAGTACAGAAATGAGGAAAGTACTGAAATGAGGAAATACAGAAGTCTAGGCATCAAAAACAAGATTATAGAGGCTGGGGTTGTGGCTCAGTGGTAGAGCGCTTGCCTAGCACATGTGAGGTACCAGGTTCAATCCTCAGCACCACATAAAAATAAATAAATAAAATAAAGGTATTGTGTCCAAATACAAATAAAAAATAAATTAAAAAAAAATAAGATTGTAGCCCTGGCTTTTTAACTGTTTTCTCTATAACTGATGTAATAATAGTTTTTGAATAAATTTATGGCAGATAGTTTTTCTTGACCCATCTTGGCTATCCTAGTTCTGACAAATCATATAAATGTAGAGGGACCTGGATCTGTAAGCTATTTAACTTGTATGCTTCCCTAGTGGTTTCTAGGACTACCACCTGATGTTATACCTCTAGACACTGATGTCCAAGATGGGAAGGATCTTGCTGATTAAATATTTTTGCTTAAGGTATATTCTAATTAAGGCTACAGAAACATTAATCCTCCAAGCACAATTTACTGTGAATCTCTGGTGTGTAGAAGATAAATGAAGGATATTGAACTCATGTGAATGCTTTGGTGAAGTTACCAGGATATTAATATCACTTGCTATTATAAATTAAATTCTAGGAGAAAGAAACTCAGAATTTATCAAATAAATATATACATCCAATTCCATCTAAGAATGCTGCTTATAATTTCAGTGTTGCATATTTAAATGGAATTTCTTTAAAAATTTCATGGTTTTGATGACAGCTGTGTCGATGGATTTCAGGGCCATTCTTTCTTAAAGTCATAGGATGAAAACCCTAGGTTGTATTAAGAGGTGCTAGAGGGTATAATTTCTTAACTGTTCATTTTACTAATGAACCTGATAGAAGGATATACCTATAAATGAAAGAGATAGAAACAGGTAATAGTAAGCAAGGGGACCTTGCAAAATCACTCCTAGACATGACTAAAAAATATTTTAAGAAAGTTTTTATATTTCTTCACATTTATTCATTGAGTAAATATTTACTAAATATTTAGTATAAACCAGGAATAGTGCTAACTGAGGATGAAAAGTTGAGCAAGACAATCCTAACTCTCAAAGCACTGATAGTCTAGTAATCAAGGCAAACAAAAGTAGCACTAGGCACAGTAGCACACACCTGTAATCCTAGCAATTCAGGAGGTTGAAGCAGGGTTGCAAGTTTAAGGCTAGCCTCAGAAAACCATGACTCAATATTTAAAAAATAATTTTAAAAGTCACACAAAAGAGATAATATATAATGTATGTGAAAGGTGCTTCAGGAGTAAACCCCATAGGAAATTGTTACGCATAAGGGAGTCAGAGAAGGACTTTAAAGAGATGACACACAGAAAAATGTGAATAGAATTTTACTTTTTCTATTCAAAAATTTTTGTATTAGTAGCATTCCTAGTCTATTAGGTTGTGGCTTTTTTATTCTTTACAAAGAGTATTAGTATTATTTAAAGCATCATAATTAAGTATCTGGAATGAAGGGTCAGTGCTTGAGATAATTGTTGAGGAAAGAAAGATGGAAGGGAACTGGCAACTAATGTAATCCTGTATGGTCTGAACCAGATTGAGGATTAAGCCAATCAACTGGGAGGGACAGATCCAAAAAAGTTTTGTTATTGATCCATCCCACTATTGGCATATGCTTACAAGCAGTTGGTGGAACAGAGATCAAATATATTTTGGATGCATAATATGTAGAAAACCATCATGGTTTAACTAAAACAATAAAAATATTTTGAGTACAATGTACTCTTAGTGAATTAGTACTTAGCTGTGAAAGGATAATTTCTTAAAATTCAGGACAAATATCACTTCCTAGAAGCCTTGGCTTTCCTCATCTTCCACTTCAGTCTGGGTTCAAAATGCACTTTCTATGTGTTCCCATAATATTCCCATAGTAGCTTGTTTTAATAGCACTCATTACAGTGTACAGTTATTAGTTATCTGCCTACAAGGTTGTCAGCTCCCTAAGGGTGGTATATCTATAATCTTATACATTACATAATGCCTTTTAAAAATTAAATACTGGGACTGGGCTGTGGCTCAGTGGTAGAGCACTTACCTAGCACATGTGAGGCATTGGGTTAGATCCTCAGTACCACACACACACAAAAAAAATACCTAAACAAAATAAAGGTATTATGTCCATCTACAACTAAGAAAAATAATAATGGTTTTTAAAAATTAAGTACCAAATTGGTAATAAATAATCTATATCAAGCTTATTGTGAAAGCAATGGAAATTAAGCTTGGTTAATGGCAAGAGCATTGGTCCTCTAACTGTGTCATCTTCCTCTGTAACTACTAATAGGACTAATAAAACTACAGCCTTTGTTTCCTTGCATAATGAACTTAAAATGTCCAGGCTGAATACTTTGTCTTCTGCAGGCCCTAAAGGGGTCCTAAAATATCATGCCCTGTACCTAGGGCCATCATACCTCGAGACCATCTGAAAAAGGGATTGAATTCCAACCTACTTGAGTTCATTTAAGGGTTCCAGAGTTTCC